CCTGGCAGTGTTCAAGGCCAGGTTGGATGGGGCTTTGGGCAACCTGGGCTAGTGGAGGGTGTCCCTGCCCATGGCAGGGGGTGGCACTGGATGGGCTGTGAGGTCCCTTCCCACCCAAACCAGTCTGGGATGCTATCAAACAAGATCAAAATGAGATCATGAAGCATCAGAGGGGAGGGTCCGTGGAAAAGAGAAGATATGGCATGGGGCACTTGGCAGGCACATCCTCCTCACGTGCTCAGTGTTAATCCAATCGTCAGGACTAACGAGGCAGGAATTTCCCCGTATGCGTGGCTCGCTCCCAGGAGCTGGGCATTTCCACCCAACAGTTCCTCCAGAGCCCGAGGAACTGGCACAACTGTTTCCTCCTGCTTTTTTCTTACGATACGCTGAAGTTTCTATGGCTTTGTGACTTCCGGAGGAAAGATCCTAAATTCTTACAGGGTCTAGGGACTGTTTCGTAGCTTGCAGTGTGCTGCGCGGGTACGTTTTTGTGGATTCACTTGAGTTCAGCATCTTAGTACACTGATATCTGTGACTAACTACAGCAGCCTGGACTCAGTGGCTCACGTGGTTCCTCTCATCCCGTAGGATGAATCCCTGCAGTTACGTCCTCCCAATGATGGGCAGAAGAGCTTTGAAGGGGTCCAGGTCTCCTCCTGTGCTAGTGTGGGCTACATGAGTGAAGATGCTGCGCCCACAGAAAGAAGCTGCTCTGTTACCTCCCTCGGATTACTTCTACCGTTACCAACACACTGATAAACCAGCTTAAAATCACTCAGAAATCCTCTTCTAGGGACTGGCAAGAAGGTTGGGGGAGAAAACACCATTTTAAAGAGTTCTCCTGCCTTTCAGGGATCAGGCAGCACGACCAAATGCAGGCGGAGACAAAGCCGTGAATGGAATTCAACCTCATCCCGTATAAGTCTACCAAGGGATGGTCAAAGTCCTGGATCCACCTGTAGGTCCATCTGTGGATGTCAAGGGACAGGGACTCCCACAGACAGATCTATAGGTGGACCCAGGACTTTGGCGGGCGTTGTGAGCGCCCTGTGCTGCCTCTGCGGAGCATCCCTGCCATCCCCGGGCCACAGACCTGCTCACAAACCACCCGGGACAAAGCGGTGACGGGTCTGGGAGCTGGGCAGGGTGCAAGGGGACACGCGTCACCCTCTTCTTCTGCACCACCACCACCACGGCATGGGGCGTGCGGGGAGGGAAGGGAGGGCAGGGCAGGCCGGCAGGGCTTGGAGGATGGGTGCTGTGTCTGGGGACGGGTGAGAGACGAGTGTGCCACCCTGCTGCTGGTCCACAGCTTGGCCACCATGAGGGCCTGCCCTGAAGCCGGCCGTTCCCGGCAGGAACAGCTGAGATCTTACCCCACATAGGTCAACCTGATGATTTTTTGGGGGTTAAATCTTAAACAAGGACGAGTTTCTGTCCAACCAGGGCTTTGTACCATGGCGCCTCGGCCTTTTTGGGAACGCTGAAGCTGGGTTTGCTGCCCTGCCAGGCTGCGCTCATGGCCACCTGGAGCAGAAAGCAGAGATAACCAGCTTGGTCCCCTCTCAGAGCAAGGTCGGAGCTCAAAACCCACTGGGTGACTTTGTCTCTTAAGAGGTCCCAGAATTGGAGCTCCAAAAGAAACAGCTCCAAACCCCACCCGTGAGGTTGGGTCAGCC